TGATGATGATGATGATGATGATGATGATGATGATGATGATGATGATGATGGTGATGGTGATGCTAATGATATTGACCAAATAATTGATTTCAAAATGAAAGATAGTCAACTGAGATCTCCCGTTTGTGTGAAACACGAGAATCAAACAAACTACGGTGCTCAGGAGCTATTTGCTCAATTGGATTATGCGTCAATTCGCACGGACTAATCCTTCTTCTTGTGCATTTGGAACCGTAGCCAATCGAGCGNNNNTTAGCTTAAGCGTAAACTCGTCTTCCTAACAGAATCTCAACGACGATGGCTATTCCATCAGGATACTGGAATCGGTGATAGTGCTTGCAAGTCCGAGTACTATTTTCAAGCTGAAGTTCCTCCTTAACGATTCTATTTCAACTGGCATTCTTCGCTCTCTATCTCTCTCGTTCATCCTATATTTATATTTCGATGTGCTGAACCATAAAATTTGGTTCTAGCAGAATTAGGGCACAGGTGATAAAGTGAAGGCCGTTTTTCTATATTGGTCCCATCAACTTGTACAGTCTAGCCGCACTGGTGACAAAAGCCTTCTTCCGATGTGTAGTCAAATGACCGGTACAACTGTATATTATGACCATTTATTTGGCTTGTGCACTCTGACTGAGAATAATTCAAAATATGCTTTCACAGCGTATCTGGATTTTGTCCGATTTCGTGCAGTTAATTCTGTGAATCTTCATTCCAAAATTCGACTTTGCCTTGTCAACATTGCAATTTACCAGTCCCGTTTGCTGCAATGTAAACAAATTTTTGATTTTTACCGGTCTGTTTTTGTTCGGGATTGACCGAATCGGTTGCAGGATCCGTTTACGCACCGATGGAGTCTCAAGTGAGAAAGAAAATACCACTTTATCCGAACAAAATGCCTTCAATCCCAGCAACAGTTGTTTTATCCTCACATTTTGTCGGACAGCACTCGCGTACGCACGTATTGACTGAATGCCTATCCCCGGCAGGAATACGGAACACTTAAACGCTTTCATATGCTTGCACAACCACTTCGTGATGATCTGTCATTTCTTTCTAGGCAAGACTTTGTTCGTAGTCACGCTTACCAGAGTATTCAGTTGAGCAGACAAGTTTATTTCATAAACGCATGGTGAACTATCTGACGAACCTAAGTGTGGATGATGTATCATCCTTCGAGGGGGTCAACTAAAGTCACTTTTTTAGTACACACTTTGGTGCGATGACCAGCAGACGGAGTGGAACCCCACAGTTACGAAGACCTGCTGTTAATTGATGGAAACCGGTACCCAAAGCCCCAGGACTTGGAATGGTGAACCAAATAAGGACCCTTTAGGCTAGACCTATAGTACTGAACCGGACGATTGCAAAGCTGTCTGCTACCAAAGTGGGGTAGCGTTGACTAAGCTCGTATCTCACTCCAAAGGGTCCAAAGCACGCCGGGGACAGTGACTAAACTACTGCGCCATCACCACCACCACTCAATTTTTAGCATTAACTTTACCGTGGTGAAAACTGGAGGCTGTACATGATTGAACTGAACCACACATTGTGGTCATCTAATTCACTTTTGTCGGCATCACTAATTGCATCAACTTTGGTCAACATTGGCATAAGAAACATTGCACATGAACTGTATGCCTGAACCAAACGAGTCACCTACCTCAGTAGAAACTGATCCAGCAACATAGGCGTTCAGAGAGATTTGACAAAGCAGTTGACTGGTGAAGGCCAACAAATCTGCAATAGTCAGTTTCGGGAATTCGAGTAACTGATCGGCGTNTGAGGAATTGGAGAATGTTCCTATTTCGGAGTGCGGGATGATTGAGAAGGATTTGTGAATGAGAAGAATGAGAGAAAAAAAGTAAAATGCGTTTCAGTTTCCAAAACAAAACAGTATTTATTGATCGATAATTTTACAAGTTTCGCTAGGGTGGGACAAAATCAGCTGTTTAAAGTTCTGAGTGTGGATATTTGTAGACAGCTTTTGATAATAGCATGTTCTATTCACCGTCGATGCTGACAAGTCAATCACGATAATCATAGACGATGATCAAGTGTTGACTTACAAAACGATCTGAAGTTTATTGTTCCCATTACTGTCAAACGCATGCACAGAGTTTCATCAAGCTCACTCGACCCAGACTACTTGCTCGGACGACGTCATAAAACTCATTCTGATTAATTGGGCGTGGAACACAAATTGTGTGGCAACTAAACTCTGAACCCGTTCTTTGATCTAAGTGTTTGTTCTTAATTTAGAAACAAATTTTATATTTTATCATCAATTTTTTAATTTCCTGAATATCAAAGTTGAAGCACCTCCCTGTGTGTACATCGTCCTTGATTACGCAATCGTTCGTCTGCGTTTATCCGGTTAAAACACACAGGTAGAAAGTTTGGACAATTTCGAAAATGAAAAAACGCAAGCTGGCCTACATTGTTTGGATTATCTCGTGCAATTTTATATCCCTTGCCACGAATTAATTTCCAGTTGAGTTGTGTTATAGCTGTAATCTTTGAAGGATGAAAAAGTCGAGAGAGTGTGTGTGCGCTAATCCTGATCTACGAGATGACTCGAACCACGGGGCGACACTTTACAGTTTCTGGACAACTTTGATGAGTCAAGCCTCCCAAATGACACCAGCAAAGCGCCTACGCATTACAGGATCTGGACAACGACCAAAGGCCGATTGTGCCGACCAATGAAAAGCCATACGGTTCAGACAGAAGCTGCATGATGTCAAGAATACGTGCACGCTATTGGTGGATACCTGGATAACCAATAAAATTCTTTCATATGTGTTACTTAACCCTCTTGATTTCTTCCAATAAATAAACTGCTATTTCTGTGACCTTTTCCTTGCGTCTCGGTTACATGGGATACCGGCGAGCAAGTGCTACTGTGATTCCGTCTTTCGATTGCGTCCCGTGATTCTCGATTCCGAAATTCGTGGTGCGTGATCCGTGCGTACTTCCACTACTACAGTATGTCAAGTTACTTTTGTCGCTCTTTGTCACAATGGCTAGGTACGACTGTGGGGATGGCGTGGAAATCCACGTTGAGTTCCCGAAAACAAACCACTAAATGAAATGCACCAGAACAACTAACTAGTTTTATATTCACATGAATACGCACTAGTTTATTGGAATAGTAAAAGTCGACGATGGAACTGATACCACAATTTCAAAGGAGGATCTTCCATACTGGATAAAACCACCTGCATTCAGGATGGTATATTAATAGGAGTAGTCGAATCACACTCCACGAGGCTGGTGCTGGCTAGGGCGAGGTTGGATGCCCACGACAAGCTTGCACGGATGAGTTGTGTATGGACAAAGTAAACACGTTTGATTGACTGCTATTCGATGATCCAGTGGATATAATGTGACCGGTGAGGTCTCCACACCAAATTCTCATCAAGATTTAGGCAAAATCCACAATGCTTTAGCCTTGACTGACATTATTTTAGTCAAAACCCGCCGTGCTTCATTCAGCCACTACCCGTGGTCCTTTAGCCTCGATGGACAAACTTTGGTCAAGTAGTAATAGGCGAATCAGATCAAAAAGTATCTGAATAATCCGATATCAACGGATGTTGAAAAAATTTATTTTCTATAAATGTTGATATTATAAAGTTTGGTTAAAAAAAGGTGCATGGGGTTGAATGTTGCAACACATGTTGATTGGAGAACATTTAACCTTACCCTTATCGTCAAACCATTTGACACATCTCGCTGGTTTGGGCTAAAGAATTTAGGTCAAGACTAAGGGATTGTAGGTTTTTGGCAAAAGCTTGTTTGGGAAACGATGTAGTTCGATAGGTAGACAGATTCGCACTGCTGATGGGACCCAACAGAACCGAAAAAGCATTACACTGTTTCTCAACTTTTCAGTTCCTGCCCACCCTTTCTGTACAGGTATTGAACAAATTTGTGCATCCTCCTGACTTTCATCAAATTTGTTCCTCTCAATGTCTGGTGATTCGAGCCTCATTCATCGGAGTGAAAACGATATTGCTCGAAATCAGACGCAACATTCCTGCGATCATATCCACTTGTGCTTTTGCTTCTATTAGTAGGGGATACAGTTTGGAACAAATACCATTCACCCATACCTATCGAAATACACATACGGTATTGGAAACTGAATTGTGTTTCCAAAATAAGAGTCATGTTGCAAGAGTTCGATCAATACCTGTATACGTCGAGACTCATTATGTAATTGATGACGACAATAAAAATAATGCTTTAAGCTCCCAATATTCAGGAAGGGGATTATGAATAATCGAGGAGAAATAAAAACAGCGATGGCGGGAGTCGAACTCTTAGCTTGACCTGCCAATGCAGGTTTTTCTTAAACCCCGAACCACGGAGGACCTGTCTATCAATGTTTCCTCATTGTCATCCGTCGCCCACAAAGCCTTGTATCGTCTGGAGCTTTAAGAATACGAGCCCAGGGACATGCTGTAGCGCATTTTAGGTCACCCCGCTGCACTGCGAGAGACCGGATTGCGGTTGTATTACATACATTGGTGACTGAAGGGATTAAAGAAATGTTAACATATTGCAGGAACTTTCCCGTCTGTTTTCTAAGGAGTTGGCTAAAGAAGCTTGGTATGTTAGATGTGCCTTTCACTTTTCTCTTGCATGAGGAAACTTCTTCGCGATCACGAACAAAGTAACTGCATTCAAACAACCAGAGAAGTCATGTATCCTAACGCTGTCAAACATGGTCTGACGGGTTACAAAAGCCGATGTCAAGCATAAATTGACGAAGACAAATTCCTGTACGATTACAAAAGTAACTTACTCAGCAATCTGTTCAGGTGAGATCAGGCTACAGTCGATCACGGACTGGACACGTTTTCGTCGCTCATCAAATCGATCCAGATCCATTTTCGTTGATCGCGTGAATGCGTGTTTTATCAGTGCCGAATAGGAATCCTATAGACAAAGTTAGATGCAGTTGAAAATCTCGTCCTAACAGGGCGCAAAAATGTACTGCAATCTGGTCTGGTTTCATGTAATATCAAATGAGTGCACCAGAAGATGTAAAGGGCAGGAGCCGTCGTAACAATGAATTATTGCTGACAGAAGTCGGTGGTCTATGTCTGGGAATTTAAAGTAACGGCCATCATCTGAGATCATCGTAAATGGGCAGTGCACAAATTTGGGATATTTACGAGTGGGGTACGCTAATGACAGGAACTTAGATGTGTCTGGTCAATTATTTGTTATAAGCTAGTTAACTAGACGCGACTGGTTGAAATGTGAACGGGTGAACTTTTTCAAGCAGTTTGCATTCTCTTTGAACTCAGATTGTTCCGTGACCATTGGTCCCACCGTAAACTAATCAATTCGTGTGATCAGTGTAAAACAAGTAGCCCATCTGTAGATTGGTTACCTTGGATAGAATAATCAATCGTCGTCTACATACTTATCCGTTTATCTATAGGCAGGTATACAATTTAGAAAAGAGAATTTCTATGCGCAATGCTCTGCTTTGCTAATCGTTTCCTAACTATCGATTGCATTCTATTAGTTTAATCTATGTTCATCGTAAATCCATTGTGGAGAATATTTAGGGTTATAACAAAAACACATTAACCATAGAATACTTCTAATGGTATCCACATAGACAACAATCGTTCCCATTAGATATGCTCAAAAGTGTTGGGAGCTTAGAAAGGCAAACTAAGTGTTAATATCTGCGAACTCTGTCATTTGTGTATGTAAGTGTATCTAGATGGACTTACACGAAGATATTCACTCGGTCCCGAAAGACTGACGAACACATTGTTATCCTCGCTGGCAATATGATATCTGAAAACCCGAGTTGAAAATGTATGCAATCAAAACGTCAGCACACCGAGAATAACAATTACGGTGAGTTCAATTGCAAATGAAAATCCAATGGAAGAAAAATTAATCCGTGTGTGTGCCTGCGCTCACATGGAAGACTGGATGGGATGATAAACTTTTGGAAATTGTGAACCGGTTTCATACTGTGTCAGGGTAATCAACAACCGATTACGCATATTTGAATACAATACTAGGCAGCTCGACAAATCTCATCAGCACTAATTTACATTGCTTAATCCACTGTTGGAACACTATTCAAGTGCAACCGGTCCCGAATTCAAATCCCGTGGTAGAACGGTTGATTCATACAATTGATGAGCTCTACCGAGGTTATTTATGTCTTCCAGATTATCGTGTTGATTGGATCAACCAAACATAGCCATCTCCAATGAGCAAAACTTCATTCTTCAGTAATCACGAGTTCCTGTGAAACAAACATGTTTTTTTTGCCTGAGGATTCACTGAGAATGCGCAGATCTCAAAGCCAAACTCAGAGGTTACCATGAGTAAATGTTAAAGCTTAATCTTAGTTAATTCGATAGTTGGAATTTCATAAACGTGATTTAGCATAACGGTCTGATCGTATGGACCAGTCCCACTCCCACGATCTCCTTGGAAAACGGATTCTCATGCGGTAACAACAGTTTGGCTTTAACCTTTTCAGTTACAAATATAACCGTAGTCAAACGTGTACATGGAACACGAGACAGCTGCAAAAAATTGTATTCTCTTGAGTTTGTCCACTTCTAACAGGGAAGGGGAGAGTTACGTTCTGTCCGCCTCCCTTCCAGTACAACTTAATTAGGTTCATGCTAACTAGCGCGTGGAGCTTGAGAATGAATTTTTTGATAAACAAGTCTTGAAATAATTGTTCCCTGCATGACAAACGTTTGAATCAAGTTTCTCATTCCTAGTGTGGGAGCGCTCGGATATCTTTT